TTTAGGCTTGGAAACAGAATCTTAATGTTTAATTAGCCAAGTCAGTGTCGAAAAATTGTTAGCTTCTTACGTTTTATCCTTTGAACTCTCAAATGTTTCGAAGATTTCTTTTACTTTTATAGTCATTTGATTTCTTATTGAAGTCACGCCAAATGTATCCGGATCCTGCTGGGCATTCTATTTAATTGAAAAGATGGTCATGACACCTTGATTGATTTTGCACCGTAGTTTATTTATATTAAATGGCAGGCACTTTGATAGTTATCATTAGCCCTTTAGTTGACTTCAGGCTTCACAGAGGGGAAGGAACATCAAAGTGAAGAAAGTCTTGGGAGGGGGAGACAGAAAAGTGATTCAAAGATGTAAAAGAGACAGACACAAAGGTAGAAAAAAGGTGAGGTGAGTACCGTGAAGGAGTCGAATATGGCATACAGTGGGTGATGGTGGTTTGGAGTCAGAAGTCAACTGCCGGTTAATAGACTTTTTGTCGTATGAGTATACGTTGCCCAGGGTGCACCACGTGGAGGTAGGTCTATCACACATCCCGATTTTGCACCGTAATTAAAATGTGCAATTATACGTGACACAGCGGATGCAGGGCGAGTTATTGCACTTATGTACCTAATATGACATGTTCGAAACTACCTCATGACGACTGCATACAATATATTAATAAAAATAGGTTATTTCTTGTAAGCAGATTTCTCAAGAACTCAAACAGGGATGAGAAATAAAAAAATTTTATTTAATGCAAAACGTNCATAGTTTGATTGACAAATTCTCCTTGTGTTCTTGTGTTTGTGAAATTTTAAGTTAAATTTAGAACGATGACATCGTTGATAATTTAAAATCACTTTTAAAAGTCCCCGGAAATCTGTGATGCCCTAGAGTACGGCAAAAACTCAATAAATCGAAATTCGATCTATTGGGAAAAGAAAATACTTAGAATACTAAAGAGTCGCAGTGTGGAAGCCCGGAATCAGTGTAAAGTGACACTGTCACTTTATCTGACATTAGCACTCACAATAAATTATGACCACTGATAAAATACGAAACGTGTTCGTGAGTGTGAGCGTGGTTACATTTATTTCAACATATTTTTCTTTTTGACTAATTTCATTTAATGAATATTCGTGTTAGCAGCTAATTTCTAAGAGTTATGCTCTTTCTTAGTAGAAGGTACACATTCACTTAACTTTTATTTAAAATATACAAGCCCTCTCATCGTATTTCCTATCTTTGACCGAAATGATAATGTGGCATTGATGAAGCTATTTATTTATTTATATCAAATGGCAGGCTATATGATATTTATCATTAGCCCTTAGTTGACTTCAGGCTTCACAGAGGGGAAGGAACATCAAAGTGAAAAAAGTCGAGAGGAGGGGGGAACAGAAGAGTGTTTCATAAATGTAAGAGTCAGACACAAAGGTAGAACAAAGGTGAGGTGAGTACTGTGAAGGAGTCGAATATGGCATACAGTGGGTGATGGTGGTTTGGAGTCAGAAGTCAACTGCCGGTTAATAGACTTTTTGTCGTATGAGTATACGTTGCCCAGGGTGCACCACGTGGAGGTAGGTCTATCACACATCCCGATTTTGCACCGTAATTAAAATGTGCAATTATACGTGACACAGCGGATGCAGGGCGAGTTATTGCACTTATGTACCTAATATGACATGTTCGAAACTACCTCATGACGACTGCATACAATATATTAATAAAAATAGGTTATTTCTTGTAAGCAGATTTCTCAAGAACTCAAACAGGGATGAGAAATAAAAAAATTTTATTTAATGCAAAACGTATAACTCAGCTACTTGAGGTTTGCAATAAAAAATTGTGAAATGCCAATTTAACGGTCCGATGACTGAAGGGGTCTCCAGAAATTAGGCATGTGGTAGAGGAAGACCTCCTAGTGCTATTCTTCTAGGAGAAAAAATATGATTTCAAAACATATTCCCTTGACACCTACATCCTGATATTATATTTTAGGTACTATGCTATAAAAAGTGGAGGAAAATGGCACATTTGGTTCAAAAAGATATTAGCCATATGGTTTAGGGTATTTTTTAGTCTACTTTCAGTTATCTACTTCCTTATACTCCTAGAGGAACACAGATCAAGCGCATAATTAAGAAAAATATCTTTATTCTAAAGTATTAAACGAAGGCATCAAATGGTTAAGAAAGACGGTTACCACGTTAATATGATTTTGAGCCTAAGAAATTGTGAATAAGTAAAAATTTCCCTAATCGTTTTGGCATTTTTATTATTAGATTTTTCTGCCAACACTTTAAAAAAATAACCAAAGCATAATAATAATAATAATAATAATAAGTTGCCAATCTCTGGGTAATCTGGGGCTTGCATTATGTGAGAGATATTTTAGATATCGCATCATACAACCAATCAGTTGTAACCAAGACTTAGTAGCAATGCGTATTTAATTGCATGAAATGCTTTAAATATTGCTTAAATAGTGCTTATCATAGGAATTTTTAATTACATCTTAAATTTACAGTAAACGAACACATTAGATATCTTCAAGAACCCTTGGAAAATTTCCAACTATTTGGACATTACAATTACGATTTAATCCGGTGGTCATTACATGCAAATGATGTACATTATATATATATATATATATATATATATATATCGATAATCTTAAGTGCGCTAAAATTACATAAATGCTCTATGGTTATGAATATGAGATATTCTACTGTGGTGAATAAATACCCTTTCCTTTATAATATAAAATATATATTTCATACATTACCAAGGCATGTATCGTAATGTCTACGACAACTTTTAGAAGCAACATCCATCTTCATGTACCATAATGCCAATATTATGTTCTAAAATTCACCCTAAGCTTAAACAATTGGAAAAGGACAAAATACAATTAATTCATTAATTGGTGCGATGTAGACTGTCAGTGCAGACCCCTAATTAGAAATTGCAATTATATAAGGAAAGAAATAAAATAATCTGTTGAGTTGGAAGTGGAGTTTCTTTCAGAAAAGTGAACAATTCGAATGGTTAAGTAGTTCAACCACATTTGGTCTAATTATAAGTCATTGGTCTGGTTCCTTTATGTTTCTTCTATTCGGTTAGGTATTTTATTCCTAGCTAATAATAATAATCAATTGAAAGCATTTTCTTATTATGTCGTTAAGGTCCTTCATCCTTTGTCAATGCTACTTGAAAGTCAAAAATATTTCTTTTAATGAAGATTAATCTCCTTTACGATTTGGAATTATACTGTGGAATTGAAAAGTTAATCATATGGAATTTGTACTCCAAATGTTAATCTTTACAAGTGGTTAAAAATTTCCTAATATTTCAAAAGTCTTTATTCAAAAATAAATCGTAATGAAGTATACATAGAATAATTGTATATACCTGAGCCGTATCTAGAATATCCGATCTGCCAAAAATTTCGAGGTAACTTATATTCGATGCACCTTCTGAAAAATCATAAAACTGATCTATGTGAAGACTTTATTAGTAAGTAATCCGTTTACCCCATATTGACCTCTAATCGAAGTGGAAAATGGACTATTGTCATTCCAAACTAACGAAAATTACGATTAATTTCAGAAAAGGTACCCTTTGGATAATGGTCGAATGTGCCACATATTTTGTTTGAGCTATTCGTAATTCATCAATAGAAAACTAAATAAATTTTTCTTATAGATCCCCATATTGTTCTAATCCTTCAGTTCAACGATACTTCCTCCTTCTTTTTCAGAAGTGAATAATTATGAGACGATGAATCGTGTAGCAATAAGAGAACTAGCATAAGATAAGATAGTTTCGAGGCTAGTTCGTTTTCTCTAATACCCACCATCTTCGTAAATTTTGTCATTTTAAAGTCGCTTCAAATTGGGTAAAGTAATAACAATTGAAATATCATAGAAAATCACTTCGATATCTAATTACATAAAGTATCTACAAGTAAACACAGTATATGTTATGAAACTAAGCCGAGTAAGAAATCAAAACCTATCCAGAGAGGGTTTAGAAATTGCTCTGAGTTTAAAATGGGAACAAAATAACCAAATATGAAAATATCATGAAGAGATCATTACTTACTATAAATAATGATTAAAATTAGAGAAACTCTTATGATTACTAAAAAAGAAATATCATAATGAGAACGATAGTTTGTGACTAAAGCTGAACGAATATGTGCGGTACTGAAACGAGGACAAGGGTGGTTAAATGAGTAAACCAGGCTAGTGAAAGTTTACACAGTCTATAGGAAAATTTGAGTAGATATTATTGCATCTTTCAAAATAAATTTATTAAGCACCCTAAGTATTCACTAAGATTGAATATGTGGGCTTTATTATCGAAGTAAGTGTACTAGTATTTGTTAAAATTGGTATATGCAAAAGAATAGTTAATAAATTATATGTTGAAATTAAACATATATAGCCAACATAAGTGGAATAAACGGATCTAATTATCAATCATATATTGATAACTTGTAAATATAATTTATTTTAGATCGGCCAAACAATTGAACTCGATATTGATAGCAGAAAAATAGATAGATTGATATTCATAGTCTATTAATGGCCTAGGGATAAGACAATCATTTGATTCTTCTTGGAATGCTATGAAAATTCTTAAACAGGTAATTAATCTGTTTATTGAAATAAAATCCAACATAGCTCAAACACAAATATTTAGATGAAAAGACAATATTAGTTGCTGTCACCTCAAAAAGTATGTAAAAGTGAGCTACTTAGGTAAAAATTTAAGAATTTAATTGTGCTAAATTATATGAAGCAATACTTCTCATAGGTTATTGAAAGTCAATAATCTTAATTTCTTTAACAACTCATAATGTAAGTGGGATCTTTAAAAATTCTTAGCCACAGTTTTGTCACGTGAACCTTAATTTTGGAATGTAGGCTCATCGCATTAAATGTTATACTGCATTTTCTACCCGTTTTTTGCTTAAACATGTTTTGTCTTAACATAGGAAGGACAAGTCGGCGTGTATTAAATGTGAAGGCAAAAATGGGCCCCCTGTTGTTCGTATCCGTAAAGATCTCCCTCCCTTATGCAAGTAAGATTTTTTAAACTCTCATTTTACATTTGAATTTGAATAAGTAATTTTTATATTTTTTCTTAGAAAATGTTTTTTAGCTGGTTGTGTTCACAAGTTTCGTTCCAGCTTTGGTAAAGCCAACATTGTTAAAGATAAAGAATCTGTGGCATTGGGTTTTACTGGTGGTGCATCATCTTTAGCAATGCTCTTTTTAGCGAAAAAGGTGGTTTTCTTTTCTCTTTTTCTAATTTATGTTTCTGAAATTACCCTTATTTTTTTAAGTTTTCCTTTTAGTGTCAAGAAGAAACTCGACATTTGAGGTTTCAGCCAACAATTATATGCTTATATGGTACTTTTTTAAAAAAATCCTTAAATTCATGCTATGTCCGTACTAAATCCAACGGTTATAGACGAAGATATGCCCTACCCATCGCAACAGGAACTATTTATGAAGCAGTCAGGTTTCGAATATCATATTGTTAGGACTGATAAGGTTTTCTACCCATTTAGAATTAATTTTATTCCAATAGATCTCCTCCGACCTCAGCCTGCCTAATATTGACGCGTCCAAACGAGTGTCGAATTCTATTCTGACAGCAACAGAAGAATTAACTCGCTGGAGCCGGCTTGATCAGCTGAAAACTTATTCTTCAAGGATTCTTGGTTTTAAATATTTGATGGTTGGTGATAATGCTAGCCAGCTTGCTGCTAATTGCCTTTCCGGCATTGCACAGGCTCGTGGTGGGTCAATAGCCTCTGAGCTGGTATGTAGTTCCTGCCTATTTCTAATAAGCCGGTTTTAACTTAGTTGTAATTCACAGGGTTTTGCGGACACTCGATACGATGATGTGACCATTCTTCGACCAATGTATACATTTTTATCAAAGGAGGTGGCTCTTTTTCTCCGATTTTGCAACCTTGAGCCCCTGATTGAACCATGCTTGAGTACACTGCATAATTTGAAATACGGTCCCAGTGCAAACTCGATTCAGCGACTTACCCAGGACTTCATTAGCTCTCTTCAGTTTGGGGGTTTCCCGTCAACCACAACAGCAATTCTTAGGTTGGTTGAGCAAATCTAATTTTAGCCATTTTTTTACTTTTATTTGAAGTTATTTTTTCATTCAGTTCTGCTTCGAAGACTCTACCAGATGATACTGGTGCCAACTGTCATTGTAAAATTTGCAGAGTAAGTTCAAAATTGATTTTACGTAGTTAATAGAATTGATTCAGATAGTGACTTTTGCGATCTACGAGCGATATTCAATGAATGCACGGCTTCTCATTGGGTTGTCGAAAATGTGATTTTGAATGCCTTGAATTAAATAAATTGGCATGTACAATCCCATGGTTAATAATTAGATTAAAATATTAATTTCGTCAGGGAAAGGGTTTAATTATTATTATTCATAAATATCCTTTTTTACCATGACAGTAGCAAATGCGTTGGTGGTGATCAAACTCAAGCCCCTTTATGCAGATTGCTTATTTTGAACCACTTGAGTAAGCGGATACAATGATGGTGAAGTGAGCTGGGAAAAGGGAAGAGACTTGATCTGTGCACTTTGCTTCACCACTAGCTCATTAGATTTGGCGTTTTTTTCATAAACTAAATTAAATTTAGTTTCGTTCTGTTTCAACCACACAAGCGACCATCTAGATGGTGCTTACAACCTCTGATCGTTTTCGAAAAGATTCCCTAGTCTGATTTATCGGAGGGAGCAAAATTTGTTCTTTAAATTGGAAAACTTCTAATCTTCGCTTCGTGACCATATCCTGGTATTAATTACGGTTTAGATGTCTTGTTTTCAAAGAATGACCGGATTTGTGGGCTCCTATTTGAACCTTTTTTAGAATGCCCTTAATAATAATAATAATTTCTAAATTAATTTAGGAGAGGTTTTGCAAAAGCCCATATCAGTTGGAAAGCGGCTTTATCAGCCAAACTTGACTATTGTGGTTGGCTATTCCACTAAGTTGTATACTAATGAGCGCTGAATCCGTCGCCCCTGATTTCTATTGACGAGCGTATTATTTAATTGCGACTTAACTTTAAATTTTTCGTCTATAATAGCATTGAAGTACTATTTGAACGCTTTGTGTGATATTTATTACGTGATATCACGAATACGTAGCAACCATTTTTAAAGACATTGATTGTTACTATTTGTTCTGTCTTTCTTCTAGGCACCAATGAAACCTCCAGGAGGAAACGGTGCCACAGCTGACGCCGCCTTTGAGTTTTCAGCTCTAATTTCAAGGAATGCGAAAATGAATTATGCCTCCGCACAAGAATCATCTCCTTCTGAGCGGCCCTCAGGCATTTGCACTTGTTGCCTAGTCAATTTGACTGAAATAGATGAGAGCCTGTGAAAGTAATTCTTTTGTTTGTCCTGCGAACTGTAATAATGATTTTGTCATATTTAATTCTTATTGGTTGTTCATTAGGGCTGGGTTTATTTGTCATAAAATTTACCCTCTTCTAATACATGTATGTAACTAAGGACCGAGCAGGCTATGAGGGAGTGGAAGTGCCTTCCGAGTTAAAAATTTTAGTCGGGGACTTTAATAGATCTGGGCGTAGCTATTATATTCAATAGTTTGGAAGGCTTTAGAAATTGGTGAAGGTTTGAAATCTTTTCTAATTTTAAGATTTGCATGGTACACTTAGATCAAGCCGATGGGAGTGCATGTGGTATATCTGGATCGGATTCATGTCTCTTACGCTATCTTATAAACGGGGAGGATGGTTCGAATGATGTGGCGAGTCCTTCAGACGGTCACTTGAAAACCAGTAGCGTATAATTTTTGTGTCATGAAGAGAATAGTTAGTTACAACAAAGTCCCCTAAACCACCTCGTCGATATCGGAGTAACAGAATGCAAGATTTGAATTGGACGTGTTTTGGTTGTGTGGCGCTGGGACAGAGCTTAATCAGTGAAGTACAATTTTGGTTACGTTGGCGGCTACTGATTGTTGGTTGGGTACGCGGTCAGCGGTACAGCAGCACGTCCCAGACTCTTCAAACGCCCATGGGGCTCCTTGGTTTTCAGATACGCTATGGGAAAATTTATTCTTTAAATTTTCATTGTTTCAAATCCTTCCTCGTTTCCCTTTGCACTAAAAATATTTGTGGTAATTAGAGTTTATTAGGCATTCAAAATTTTGAAGATATAAAACTGTCAAGATTTTATAATTTCAGCAAATGATGTGATGGAGATGCTTAGAGAATCATCCATATGTCTTAAATAATTGTTGAACTGCTTAATGGATATTCATATTCATTCTATTAATTATAAGCACGTTTGCAAATTATTTGATATTGATATTTACTTTATATTTACTTTTGTTTCTTTTTTTAATGTAAGGAATTGTTTATTTTATCAGGACAAGTGGATACTGTTAATAAAACTAATATTTAAGTTTGCCCTCTTTTGCGACGTATTTGGGGTTTGCTAGTTGGAATGGACTCGTATGACAAAATAAAATAAGAGGCCCTATTCACCCGTCTGGAGTTGGGTGATCCAACATTCGAGGAAACAGTATTCATCCTTCTAGAACTGTAAACGGTATTTCAAGAGTGCTTAACATTGATTAAGATACAAGTGCACAGAAACTCCATTGACCTTTGAAGCTAACAGTAATTGTAAACTTTACTTTCAATTATTTTAGATGAAACGAATAAGAATTTTTAGCAACATGGTGGCTACTAAAATTATTATTATTTCAAATGGCAGACTTTATGATATTTACCATTAGCCCTTAAACTTTGACTTCAGCTTCCCCCATGGGAGGGGGGTACATATATAGCAGTTAATTAATAGCAGTTTATTAGCTGTCTTCTTGCTTCCCAATATCTCTGGCTTTCCGTCGTTGTCTTTAGGGCTGGACACCGAATCAGGTGGGTCTTCTCCATTTCCTCCTGTAGGTTACATAGGGGGCATGTGGGTTGAGTGTATACTCTCAAACTGTGAAGGTGTTTTGCCAGGCAATCGTGTCCGGTATGTAGTCTAAACTCAACAACGGCTTCGATTCTTGGCCAGTCGGCTATGTCGGAGAGTGACACTGTCCATTGTTTCTCCTTTGTTCGAGCTTTAAGTTCGTTGCACGTTGAGGTCTGGAATTCTCTTCTGATTAAGGCCTTCATTGTGTGGAAAGACATCGGCCGGCCATTGCCTTGCAAAATCGTTGTCCCCTTCTTAGCAAGTGTGTCAGCAAGCGCATTGCCTTTAATGCCACAGTGACCAGGAATCCATTGTAGGACCACTGTTTTGTTTTTCTCTATCAGCAGCTGATAGAGTTTTTTACATTCGTATATCTAATTTGTTTTGGGTGGTTCTCTGTTTTCAATTGAGTTTATTGCTGACTGTGAGTCTGAATGTATCACAGCTTTGGTGAATTTCGTATCCAGATAACATACTTGGCATAGTGCTATCCTAATGGCCTCTATTTCTCCTTCGAAAGCGGATCTATTGGGTCCCGCTGCTGCGTAGAAAGAGAAAAGTTTAGAGTAGACACCTGCACCAACGTTTGCTTGGTTTTCTGTGTATGAGCCATCAGTGAAGACTTGGAGCCATTGATCTGCAGGATAGTTGACATTGATTGTCCCAAGGGCCAGTGAGCGCATTTGTTCTGGAGAGGTGTTTGATTTCTTGAAGAAGTCAAGCAGTTGGGTACAGCACACTACATCAGTGTCTGCTAATGGGTTCATGGTGAGAGGGGCTTTTTGGTTTGTCATCGATTTGTAATTCATTCTTCAGTTCTATGACTTTCTGTATTAGACCAGATTGCGTTTTCAGATGTCTTGGTCTATTCTCATAGGTGCTGAAGAACTTATCCATGGGAATCCGCAGTAGCTTCTCATACAGGATCAAGGCCTTTTCTTTGATAAGGGAACATATTGTAGTGCTTCCCGTAACTAGGAGCNCATCTTGTAAGTGGTGTTGAGAGTTGAGTGTGCACAGCCCCATACGCTACCAGCAAGACGCTTCAATACATTCAGTCTATTGGAGACTCGTTCTGCTATTTTAGTAATGTGACTTTTCCACGTTAGCTTTGTGTCAAATGTCATTCCGAGATGTGTGAACTCATTGGTTCTTTCTAGAGTAGTATTCTTGAACCTTAGAAGTGGGTTTATGCTGTGACGGGCCAAAGAAAAAGTTTGGAATGCAGTTTTCGCGGTGTTGATAACCATTTCATTGTTGTCGTACCAGTTTGCTAGTAGTTCAAGTGCACAATTTAGGGCAATTTCTGTCCTCTCCTGAGCGTTTTTCTTAGGAGCAGAATACCATAGAACGATCATCTGCGTAAAGTAAGCACTTGATGCCCGTGACTGTCTGTACCAAATCGGCCATGTCATTGATGAAGACATTGAAAAGAGTGCAGCTAGTGACAGCTCCCTGTGGAAGACCTGTTTGTAAAAGATTTGATTTTGATAGAGCATTTCCATATCTGACTTAACATGATCTTTGTCCAATGAATGCTTTTATCCAACTTAGCATGTTATGCTTAATACCAATCTTTGTCAATTTAGAAGTAGCTTCTCTTTCCATACTAAGTCATATGCTGATTTGAAAACGACGAAAACAGCCGTAAGAGTATTTCTTGCATCAAGGGCATCTTTGGTGTGTTGGGAGAAAGTGGCTACATGTTGGTTCGTTGATCTTTACGGTCTAAAACCTGCTTGTTCATTCCTAAGAATATTGTTGGTCTCAAGGAACCAGGTAAGCCTCCTCTTAACCATTCTTTCCATAAGTTTAGCCATCACGCTTGTGAGGGAGATAGGCCTATAGTTGTCAGAGGACCACGTATAAGAGGTTTCGGAACACGACCGGAGTCCAAGGATCACGTTTCGTTAGACATCTTTGACGTGCTGCCTTTTTTTCTATTTCATGATTACCTTCCTTTCTACATTGCTTCCCCTAGATTGCATTATTTATCCCCCAACACAGGTGTTTTGAGACAGTGAAAATTGTAATGGCAAACATTTTTGCCAAACAAAGAACTGAACTTAGTGATGCAAATTAAAGGCATTAAACAGTTATAATATAGTTTAACAAAATTCTTGTGGGTCGATTGTTCTTATATATTTTTTTAAAGTGGAAGCAAAATGACGTTCAGTGGGGGTTAACTGAGGCTAAAAAACATTAATTTAACATGGAAAATACCGCCTTAGCGATTTCATAAGCTCGTTTTACCAAGAATTGATGCGAATAATGAAAGCGTTACTTAAAAGAATTTCAGTACCGTAGTATACCTTAACTTCAAAATGCATGAAGAAAATTACACGACGAAAAAATTCTACTTTGGTTTGGGGACGACCAGTTTAACACAGTTATAATTGATTTAAATAATGTTTTTCTCCCTCTTTCATGGACTTCGACGTATGCCAAACATTGGAAATTTTTTGGGGTGAGTTGATAGAAGGGAGCCAAGGGTTGAGGTGAATCGAAATGTTTGGAAGGGGTTGACAAGTGAAATAGTACAATAAAGTTCATTATTTGAAGGAATAGGGAAGTCGGATGAGATTAACGAACAAACGAATTTTTTGTTCGGGGGGGGGGGGGGAGAGAACGAGTCATGGGTAAGATACAAAGCAACCCCACCCGAGCTTGTTGAAGAGATCGAAAGAACCAATGAGAAGAATAGAGATTTCGATTGGAAGGAAAGAATTTTAGGTTTGCTATAGTCTGTATCATCCTATAGTCTACATCCTATGAAGTTATTTGTGAAGATATGCTAGAATTGGCCAAGATGTCCTAAACCTGTTTACTTTCCTGACATTTAACCATATTTAACACATTTCTGGCCTGAATTAAAACTCTTTATCCATTGGCTACACCCAGTTAGGCTAAGGAATAATTTCAAAATTATTTCCCTTCAAATCGGTATTAAAATTGATCAAACCTTTAACATAAACCCTATTCGTAACTCCATAAAGTTTGAATCTGAGAGGCTAATAAGATATTTTCCAAGAAATTGGGTTAATTTATTCTAGGTATTGTTGATCCAACTGAGGTCCAAGTGACTGATTCAAGCTTTATTGGATATTTAATAACAATGCAATAAAACTACTAGAGGCTGTGCATTCGAAACTTAAATAATAATAATAACCAATTAACCATGAGGTGACTGTTGACAACACTGCAAGATACACGTACTGGTAAAAATCAGATGAAAGTCAAAGTCCAGAATGAACAACTGCCAAATTTAGAACCGGAAATTTACATAATAAACATATTTCACTTGCAGCCTACGTTTTATTTCTTTCTATTGTTTCTTGAAAAGTAATGGGAAGTGCTAAAATATAGTAAGATTTGGATCATAAATTGGCCACCGCAAGATGATTTTTTTAATTTCTTCATGTTTTGAAT